GGGATATTCGCGTAGCGCCCCAAGCCTCACCAAACATGGGCGCCCCCTTGTTGTCATCACTCCGTCTCCCATCTAGTCTCTTCGCACCATGTCTCGTCCGAGTAGAGGCCGCCTTCGTCGTCCAGGTATTTGGATGGGGTAGCTGTGCAGTTCTTCTCTTGAGGCTTGGCTATGAGCTCAGCCGGGACGTCTTTAACCTTCAACGTCTTCAAGAACTCGACGATCGTCTTGGTGAGCTTGAGCTTCTTCGGAGCGGTCGGGTACAGGTTGCTCAGCGCTCGCGTGATCTGGGCTCTCAGGCCCCTGGGTGCACGACCGCCAACTTCGATGATCTTCTTCGGCGTTCTGGCACGGAACTGAGCGAGGGCGAACGTCTTCGAGTACCTCTGCACGCTGGAGAGGGCTTTCCACCGCCCACGCCTCCGTACCCGCTCCAGCCTGGCGCGGCCAGCCCCGAGTGTCGGAGACTGTGCGAGAGGGGGGGGGGGCGAGGACGAGGAGGAGGAGGAGGGAGGAGGAGGAGGAGGAGGAGGAGGAGGAGGAGGAGGAGGAGGAGGATGAGGGGGGTGGGCGCCCGCGGCATGTCAAGCGCGAGTCCGACCCGGGTCGGGCCGAAGTTCGGAGAGGCCGCGCCGTCGCGGGCCTCCGTGGCGGCCGGGAGGGGGCGGCCGGTGGCACCGCGTCGTGCGCGGACGCCCTAGCTGCTGCCCGCCTTCCCCTCCTCCTCCTCCTCCTCCTCCTCCTCCACCTCCTCCTCCTCCTCCTCCTCCTCCCTCGCCTCTCGTGGGCACTTCGAAGGGGGAGCCCAACGCACCGCCCGTCCCAGATGATGTCCGTGCTCCATAGCGTCTCGAGACGGCCGTTCGCGCCGCGAGCCAGCCGGGGGCCCCCCTGGCAGGCCCGGTGATCGCTTGGTTTGTGAAGCGGGAGGCAGTCTGGGCTTGGGTCGGTGGAAGGGGGGCGTCTACAAACACGAGCTCTCCCCTTAGCCTGTCCCAAGGCCTTGCAGCAAGTGGTCTTCTAGATCCGCGATGGGACACCCCCGGCGGCGCTTCTGGCGCCGCCCCTGGCGCGCTCCGCGCGCCAGTGAGGGGGTTGTCCAGCGCGGATCCAAGAAATCCGCGAGGAGGGCCAAAAGCTGATGTTTACGTGGTTTTCTTCTGAGAGATGCAGTGCGAGCCCGACCACAAGAAAGCTTCCACAAGAAGCCCAGCCCTGAGACCCCAGGACGCCCATTGACTTTTGGTGCGGGAGCGCCGCTCTCCCCATCGCAGAGCCGTCGAGGCCCAAGAACCCCGGGGCACCCTGGAGGCAGGCAGGGTGCTTCTTGGCATGGGTCTCCACTGCATGGATGGCTCCCAGCCTCGGTCTGTTGGGTTACCGGTACTCGCCGCCGCGAAACCGGCCACTATCTCTCCTGGATACCGTCGTCGAGCCCCGCAAAGGCGTCGGAGCCCAAGAAGCCCAGAGCACCCTGGAGGCAATCAGGGTGTTTCTTGGCATGGGACTCCGCTGTAGTCGTAAGTCGGGCATGTCTCTCTACAGGAGGAATATTCAAAAATGGTCAAACGATAGCCTGGGGATGATTGTTTGACTATTTTTGCATATTTTTGCATATTTTGACTTTTTTATGTTTTCCCATTTTTCGTCCAAAATCCGACTGTAGGAGGACATGCCCGACCTAAGTGTAGTCTTGTGGCACTCGTCGGGCCTCTTTGACGTATGTCGGCAGCTATCTGAGCCATCCTCGGCTAGCTCGAGTGGCCTCGGAGGGCCCTCCTTGAAGAGCACGGGAGGCCCCCTTGGAGCCCACCCTCTTGGGGCGCAGCGGGACCTCCAGCGCCGCGGACCCCCCCGCCAGCCTCAGGGGGGGAGGGTACCCTTCCCCGAGTGGACGAGGATTTTGGAAGAGGAACAAAAACCGAAGAAGCCCATCGAAACCCAAGAAATCATCGAAACCCAAGAAACCCAGGGCACCCTGGAGGCAAACAGGGTGTTTCTTGGCATGGGCCTCCACCGTAGTCTTGTGGCACTCGTCGGGCTTCTTGGACGTATGTCGGATGCTGTCTTGAGTTGCCTTCGGCTAGCTCGAGCGGCCTCGGAGGGACGGGAGGCCCCCCTGCAAACCCTCGTGGGGCGAAGCGGGACCCCCAGCACCGCGGACCCCCCTGACAGCCTCAGGGGGGGGGATCGGGCGATCGCAAACATGGATCAAGGGGGCGTGGATTAGCGACGGGTCCCGCTTCCATCAGACATCGCGGATCCCCGCCGCCGAGCAGGGCGGCACCGGCCACACTTTGGGGAGGGCACCTCCCCCGATCCATGGATCTGGCGACCGCGCGCCAAATCCATGGATCGCTAACTCATGTTTGCGCGCCCCCGGGAAAGAGACAGCTCGTGAGACCGCCTTCGTTCCACGGGCTGGTGGGATTTGCCAGGGGCCGTGGCCTCGGGAGGGCGAAGCCGGAGTCGTGGGAACTGCGGCCTGGAGAGCGCGGGCCTGGCGAGACTTGGAAGCATCCGTGTGGTTGGGGGAGCGCGCGCCTCTGGAGTCAGGTATACTAAGGAGGGAAGAAAACGCACAGACACAGTTAATCGCTGATCCCCAGGAAAATATGGGAAAATGTGGGAAGTGTGGGGGGGAGGACAAAAACCCAGAAAATACGGAAAGATATGGGGAGTCCTTTTATTTGTGTGTATTTATTTGTGTGCCCCAGGGCCCCTTCATATACGGGATTGTGGATTCCGGAGCGGGAGCCTGGCGGGCTTGCGGCCTCGTGGCGAGCGATTCGGCCGCACTTGACCACCGCAGGGCTCTGGCCTCGGGAGCGCGAGCTTCGCGCAACTCGCAAGGGACTGTGGCTTGTGGAGGGCGAAATTGGCGTGATTCATCATGGGTTGGCCTCGGGAGCGCGAACGCGACGCAAGGGATGGTTGTTTGTGGAGGGCGAAGCTGGCGTACTTCGTGGTGGGCTGTGGTCTCGGGAGTGCGAGCTTCGTGACGCAAGTCACGAGAGACTTGTGGCCTCGGGAGCGCCAGCGCGCCGTGTTTCGCGTGTCCCAGGGCCCCCCCCACCCCCCGCAGGGACTCACATCATGCGATGTTGGCGCGGTCAGCAGGTGTTTTTCAGGCTCCCCACCTCGCGCGGTCTCTCAATATCAGAACAATGGGGCTCGAACGTATAAACACCCATCATTACCACTTGGGAACTGGACGTGGTGCAGGGAGCTGGAACACCTCCGCCTCGCGGCGTGTTGGTCCCCAAGGGGCTGGCGGATTCAGCTCGGCCTGGTTGGGGCCGCGAGCGTTTTCTCATATCACGCTTGGTGAAGCCGATCGACCATGTGCCCTGGGGGCTGGAGGCTGTGGAAAACATCAGTTGCAAAGCTGCTGGTTTCTCAAGTACGCAGTCGAGACGCTGCAACAATACCCGCTTTGGGTTGGACTCAGGAGGCGCGCAGGTTTCAGGGCAGTTCCATGAATCTAGGCTGGGGAGCATGTTCGTGGCTGAGGCTCGCCGTGGCCCGAAAAGCCCTCACGTTCCTTATTTAGCGTGCCTTCCGGTAGCAAGTGGCAGTATCGGAGGTGGACAGACCTCCTACCCTGACACGTCGATTAAGGAATTGGCCGTTGTCGGTTCGCGAGAGGGCGTCGCGGCCGTCATTTTTGCGGGTCCAGGTCCGTCGGTTTCGGTCCCAGGCCGTTTTCACTGAGGGGAGGTTTTCTAAAGGGAGGTTTGTCCACCGCCGACAGTATGACAACTTTCAGAATCCTTCATTTCACAGGTGAGAACTGAGCTCATCGCGATGCGGTTGCTGAAATGCCCAGCTGCCTGCGGCAAACCCCGCCACCATGCCAGCGCAGCCTTTGGAGGCCCCCGGAGCGCCCTGGAGGCTCCCAGAGGCCTCCAGAGCCTTTCGAGGTTTCGGGAGGCCCAGACCTTGACAAACACATCCAACAACCACCTCGTTTCTCGAATCTCGAAGTTCGATCCTGGAAGCTCCTCGGCGAACCTCTCCATCCTCGAGTCAGAAAAGGGGGGAGAGGGGGGGGGGTGAGGAGGGAACGAGGAGAGAAGGCCTGTTCCAGACTGACCTCTGGGGGATCTGCAAAGGAATGGGCGAAGGTGCTGAGGGACATCTATAAGGCCTACACGCAGGCCGTTGCTTCGCCCTCTTCCCTCCTCGCTCCTCCCTGCTCCTTCCCCCGTCTTTCTTTCTCCATCGGTCGATTATGGTTCGACATATGTGAAACGGACCTCGATACTGCGAGCTGCTTGGTTGCGTCTCGGTGGTTCGGTGGCTCAATCTTGAGACTTAGGCAGGGTACACAGCTGTCCCGTATAATCTTCGGTGTGGAATATCAAGACTGCTTGCAACCAGGAGGGCGTATATTTCGTCGATCATATATGGTTTAACGGTTACTTCGACAGCGAGTTCGGTATTGCAATTGGTTGAGTTATGTCTCAGTTGGTTCGGTGGCTTGATCTTGATATTTGGGCATGCTACAGATCTTTCCAATATACGGTTCGATTCATAGTCGCAAGGAACATCTGTTTGCAACCGCCAGAAAGCTTAGATTTGTCTATCATAGTCAGTTCAATCGCACCAGTGTGAAGGACCAAAGCTGACCTGGCAGCAATTGGCCTTGGGAGCACATTTGATGTAAGTGGATATGTTTTGCCTTCGTCTTGAAAATCGGAAAGGCTAGGAGGAGTTCGAGGAGGAGGAGGAGGATGGAGGAGGAAAGAATATGGAAAAGTGAAGAAAAGGAAGGTGGAGGAGGAATAGCAAAACTTATATTGACATTAATATTCGTACGACTGATAACCAGAGTACTACCACCACTACTACTACTATTACTACCACTACTACTACTACTACTACTACTACTACTACTACTACTACTACTACTACTACTACTACTACTAGTACTAGTACTACTACTACTACTACTACTATTACTACTACTACTACTACAACTGCTACTACTACTATTTCTACTACTACTACTAGTACTGCTACTACTAGTAGTACTACTACTACTACTCAGAATAAGAAGAGCACTGATAATAACGCTATGAGTCGAAACACATATTAGTAATCATATTGCTAAGAGAGAATAATCATCATATAAGCAATACTACCAACACTACCCACATAACTAATCATATAGACATTTATTCGGCAACGCTCGTAGAGTACGGACTTCAGATGATACGCACAAGCGTATTAGTATGGCTAAGCATAATACTACGAAGAAGATGACTCATACAAGTTATCGTACACGTATGACTCATACGAAGAATATCACGAATAATGGTATACACAAGAATGAATGATCAGGTTATTAAGAATAGTCGTAATAAGCATACGCATCGTTCTATTGATACTCGTACTATGAAGAGCAAGAAAACTAACACGAGTAATGCTAATATTCATTGTGCTAAGTATTCGAGAATACTAATAATATTACGCACAGTAAGACAAATCTCACTCGTAAGAAGACGACGGCGACCAAAACTTATAGTATTCATATGAGTAATGCTGAAACCAGTTTTATTAATCATAACATTGATACTTATACTACGAATGATACTATTAATACTTATAATCATAACACAACTAACTTGACTAATAATAATTACTACGACGACTAGAGGTAATAGTACGCATACGAACAATCATACTAATACACGTGATAATACCAACGCTATTAATATCACTAATGACGAATAATAATAATTATAAGAGAGAGAGAATCATACGAGTAATACTAATACGAAGAAGAAGACGAAGAGGAGGAGGAGGCAGCGGCGGCGGCGACGGCGGCGGCGACGGCGGTGGGCGCGCGCGCAGGTCGGCGAGGCCTCCATGCCCGAAGGCTGGGGCTGAGGCCGCGAGGCCGCCGCTCGGGCGCGGCGCGCCGCGCCCCTGACGAGCCGCCGCGCCCCGCGGGCGAACAGCGGGGCTCCTCCTCCTCCTTATCCTCCTCCTCCTCCTCCTCCCCCCTCCTCCTCCTCCTCCTCCTCCTCCTCCTCCTCCTCCTCCTCCTCCTCCTCCTCCTCCTCCTCCTCCTCCTCCCCCTCAGGAGAGGAGGAGTCGTGAGGGCAGCTGACGCACCAAAATGTTGGCGCAGACGACCCTGCCAGGGCCGCCTGCGACCCGGGATTCGGTGCGATTCGATTCGCTGGCCGGGGCCACGGTTCCGAGTCGATGCGATCCGGCTCTGTTCGCCAGCATCGATCGGGGCGTCTCGGAAGCGGGGCGCGGCGACTCCATGCCGATCCAATTCAGGACGAGTCGCTGGCGATTCGATCCGCTCGATCCGACCCCATTCCGCGGTCCGATCTGGCGCAGACCTGCCCGCCCTTCTGCTTTGCTCAGCTGCCGCCAGCCCTCCGCCGGCTTCCGCCGAGGGCGAGGCGCCAACCTCTCGGCCTGTCGAGACCGGCCCCCGCTGCCCCAGGCCGACCGGCTTCGCGCCGCGGGCCGCGCGCCCGCGAGGCGCGGCGCGGGGTTCCCCCCCCCCCCAGGCTTTCGGCCGGACCTGGCCGAGCCTCCTCCCTTCCTCCGGGCTGGCCTGGGCCGGACTCCCAGAGCCTCTTGGGTCGGGGGTGGACAGAACCCCCCACAGTGGCACGTCGATTAGGGAGTTGTCCGTTTTCGGTGCTCGAGATGGCGCCGTGGCCGTTCTTTTCCAGGCTTGCGCCCGCCAGGTTTGGGCCTCAGGTCGTTTCACTAAACCACGTTTTACTAAAGGGGGGTCTGTCCATCCCCGACTTGGGTCGTCGTGGATCCCCCCCAGGGCCGCCTGGAGGCTCCACTGGGGGCCTCTGGGATCATCTTTGGGCCCTCTTGGGCCTCTTCGGCCGTCTGAGAGTCTTGGAGGTATTTGAGGAGTGCCATCGTGAGGCAGTCTTGGTGCCATCTTGAGCCATCTCGAGGCCATCTTGAGTCATCTTGGGACCATTTTTGGTAACTGCGCGCCAGATGATATCATGTCGTTCGGAAGAAAGCTAGTCTAAGGAGTGTTGATGAAGAGGAGGAACGGCAAACAGTGTTTAAACTAATGTTTTCCAGTTGTGAGTTGATATGCCATGTTTTCTTTGTTTTCCTATACAGCTGGTGACCACTTCGTAGTGATGGAAACAATGATTGGCGTGTTTTGCAGACATGTTTGTATCGCCTTCCTGCGCTCTCTGCGTGCGTCGCCAATCATCTGCTCAACTGAACAGTCGCGCGACCTTGTCGCGTTCTAGATGGGCCTGTGACACACTTTTTTGTTGTTATGCATCTTTGAAAAAGGATGCGGTTTTACCATCACCATCGTCATCGTCATCACCGAAACGGATGATTTACCATCACCATCGTCATTGTCATCACCGCCATCGTCCTCGTGAGCGCCGTAAGGTCGCATGCGGAATTGCCCAAACCAATGCAAGGACAAGGAAGAGGAACACGAGAGGGATGAGTATGACGCTTATTCTGATGCTGATG